GAGAGAGAGAGAGAAAGAGACGGAAGTTTATAAACCACGGCGTGCGCGAGCACCATGGCAAACTAAACACCATATAATACCTGACGTGGTTGTGCCACGCGGGATTCTACGATTGTACGCGATGACCGTTGTTTCTCCCCCGTCCTCTCGTCGCCTCTCCTTGAATCACGAGGAACTACCCTCGCGTCCTGCGGACCTCGCCACCGCCTATAACCGACCAACAACCGTCCGTCGTGCACGCTGGTCGGTTCAATTGCATACATTACCGCTACTATATCTCCCTTTCACCTTTACCTTCACCCTTCCGCTCCCCGCCCGTCCAATCCTCTCCTTTGTATGCGCCTTAACATGCATACTCGTGCACGCGTGTGCGTGTGCGTAGTCTCGTCCGGATTCTGCCCCCCCCCCTCTCTCCCTCTCTCTCTCTCTCTCTGTCTCTGCATCCTATACCAATGGTCCACAGTAGCCGGTGCTACCGGTGCACGCGAAATCCTGAATTATGTCCCGGACGGACCATCTGGATCTCCGAAGAGCGACTACGCGCTATCCACCGTAATCGTCCCCGGGGAAATCGTCGGTTTCCTCTGTTACCGATCCGCTGATGTTTCCCTCGGTATAGCGTGCTAGAGTCTGGTGGATTAGAGAGGATTGGAATGAGATCTTTCACGAGTCTTTAGCTTTAGCTTAGATAATAGAATATTAAAAAGAAAAAAAGTGACGAACTTACTGACCGTAGGGACCTAGGAATTTTCGTAATTGCGTAAAAGAATAAATGTTTTGTGTATTATATCGAAGGATATTAAGAAAAGTAAGTTAGAAAATTGTTGCTTTTCGAGATGCAGTTTCTTTTATTCTATATTTATTGTTTGAATTTATTGTTGTTCAATTTCAAAAGGGAGCGTGCATTCTTCAATGAATTTTTTTAAAAAGCAAAATACAGTTATTTATTGTATCTTGACTAGTGATAATTTCACGATAATTGATGACAGAACGATAAATTTGTAATAATTTAACAATTGTGATTTATTGAAATTTATTGAATTTACAATGTTTGTGATGATTGATATGCGTGAACTAATTAAATTGATTTAATTGAATTCTCTTCACGTAATTATGTAAACTGTCTCGTACAAATAACCAATGAAATAAAGTCGCTTCGGCGCGTATCGATTAAACTTACCGCAGTACCTAAACAGAGAAAAGCGGGAACAGTGGAGATTTTTCTCATTTGAAGTAATTAAAAGTTTTTCATCTACTGATATCTTTCTTCGTTAAAATTTTATTTTATGAATTTTTCTTCGCGCAGGACCGTCATTCCGGATATTAGGAGCAACATCTGGCGCAAGCTATACCTCTAATACCTTGCGAAATTATGCGCTATTAATGTCGTGGAATTTTCTCCGCGTTCTTCTGTCTACTTTAATTTTATAAATTAGACGCATTGCTCCTTATGTGCAAGTAGCTTTCGTGTATTATTTT